TGCTGAGGCAGCATCTTAAGCAGAGAGTGAGAGGGGGGTGCTTTTATCCAGCGTTCTCTCTCTGAACTGGTCCATGGCTGTGGTCTGCAGCACTGGGCTTTTCTAAATGCTTCTCTAATTGAATTCTCAGGTGAGTTTTAATTCCTTCAGGTGATTCCACGGGAAAGTCTGAAAGAGGGGACTGTGGCAAGGTGTGGATATCTTGTCTGGTGTCCTGTCCTGCAGGGACATCCTGTTCTGTTTGTTATCCCAATGAGGGAGGTGGAGTCCTGATCCAAAGGGAATCCTGGAGAAGGATATCGCTCCGTCCAGTGGCCCCGATTGTGTTGCCTCAGCATTAAAGGGGTGAAATAGCAGACATTGTTCTTGTGCTGGAGAGAATGGACCTGGCAACTTTTATCCACAGTGCTTGGAATTGCGATAGGCTTTCCAGCTGCTTTCTTGTCATGTTGTCTGAATGGCCTGGTTCCATCTAGCTGGGCGTGTGACTCCTGTTGAGGTTTTGTGTTTCCTATTCACTGCGGTGCCGTGCTGTCTCTGCACTTATGATCAGTTCCTTCTCAAAGCATAGGTGCTCAGGCCGGCATTCCTGTGGAAAGTGGAAGATGTTCTGTGTGTATCTTTGAGCTAAAATCAAGTGCTGTGCCAGTTTAATATCAGATCTATCCTTTGCTGAAGGGCTCACACTCCAGGTGCCCTGTGAAATCCTTCCTGGGTATGTGATGTGTATACCAGTGTCTCTGGAAGCCGTGCTGGCGCTCGTGCTGCACCTGCCCTTCAAAGACCTCTTAGTTCCCCTGCAGCTTTCCATTGAGCCCTCATGATATTTTTTTCTTGATGAAATAGCAGAGCTTTCTTATTCTGAAGGTGTTTTCCAGATAATGCTGTTTGATTTCCGTGGCAATCATGCGAGGTTCCTCCATTTGTGGAGATCTCACTGATTCAGTCCATGCTCCACTCCCATCAGAGCAGCTGTTACGTGTGGGTTATACTTGTGAATGGCAGGGTTTAGCAATGCACTCTGCACCCAGAATATTCTGTTTTTCCATGAGCACTTGTTCCCCTTCTGTTGGAGACACTAACTGGGAAAGCAAATGCCAATCAGCATTCATTGTTGGAATACCTATAGCTGGGCCTTTTCCTGCCTAACCCCAGTTCCGGCTTGCAGAGCAGATGTTGCCTTTTCTGTTCTACTAGTGTTGCTATAGGATCTGAGATTGTACATCTCTTATTTCAGAGAGTTGGGTTTTTAAAGGAGCTGGTGTAACCAGAACATGGCATGACTGAGTCACATGTGCGTCATCATAATAGGCACTTTTCTGCATCAGTTGTTTTCTTCCTCTCTCTGTCACTAGGCATTCACACACAGATCCCACTGACTCCTAGGCTTTTGGGAATGGATGCTGGAAATAGAGGGAAAAGCCATGAGGTGCAGGGCTGGTTATTCGTTGCTACAAACGAGGAAAGAGTTGATTATTGTGGAGTACCAGGACCATGCTGTACCACATCCCAGGGCTGGTAATGGGTCATGCTGAGTGTTGGGTTTGGATCCTAGAAAGGGGAGCGAATACCCAGGCTTGTATGGGTTGTGCTGGGTTTTGGGTCTAAATCCCAGCTACCTGCTGGGGAGCAGGTGGGATGGTGGATTGGGCCAGTGCCAGTTCTGTTCTATGAATGGGAAGGATGGGACTCCTGCGTGTATGTCTGTGTGGAGAGCAGCGATCTCCCTCCTGGAGGTTTTGTTGGCTGAAGCCTCAGCTTGTTTTAGAATTCAGGCTTCGCAAGGCCTTTCACGCGCTGAAGAGAGACTGCAGTTGCTGACAATAGTATGTTCAGCAGGCAACTTCAGTGGCGCCTTCTCATTGTAGCCTACGGCTGCTTGCTTTCGGCTCAAGGGCAGGGGTGTCACTCTGATCTGATGGATGCTTGGGGGAATTTGCAGGGGTACTTGTTGGAGCATTAAAATTGAGCTTTTCCAGGTCCAGTTGGGAAATGCTGAGCTGACTCCCCACGTTCTCCATTTCCGCATCCAGGAGCACTGACCCTCTGCCCAGTGATTACAGAGCCCTGAATCAGAGGAATCACAGGAACCTGGCTTTGGAGCCAGAACATTCCACCAGCGGAAGGAGAACTGCAGTTAGTGTGCTTAAGCTGGGGGGGGTGAGGCAGCTGGCTGGCTCTGGGTGGAGCAAGGCTGTGGGCTGGCTGTCAGGTGGTCAGTCAGGGCAGACAGACCTCCCTACAGAACGAAGGCTGTGGATTAGCATGCCTTTTCATGCAGTGATTCCCAACTCTAGGTGGGAAGCGTATGGGCAGTACTGTCCTACAGCATCCCTTCAAAGGATAGGCCATGCACACGTATGTCTCTTGATAGGCTCACCTGCTCATATAGAAACACCCTCTTCTGTGCAGTGGGATGTAGACCAAGGCCCTGGGCCAGGCGGGCTTCTCTCTTGACCCCCATGGACCTGGTGTCTGCCCATCAGTGGAAAGTTCTCACAGGCTTCTAGGGAAGTATGTTCCTAGCAGGGGTTCAGCCTGGGTCAGGAAACCACTGCTGCAAAGACTGCCAGCATCTCTTCAACACTCCTAGTCTACATGTCCTGGCCTCCACTTCTTTAAGAGATCAAGGAAATCATCCTCATGCATTCATCTTAAGGCTGGGTTCCAGCTCTGCAGGTGGCTGTGGCATTGCCTCTCAGTCTAGTAGTGGCAGGGGGCTGCCCCAGGTTCTGGCCCCATGAAGAAATCACTTTGTACTCCAGATGCTTGTTACCCATCTCCTGCCAGGTCTTGCCTGTGGGAAAGACACCTCTGTGCTGGGGACTGATTTTTCAGGCAGCACCTGGTCTTTTCCTTTGGGGAGAGGCTGTTTTTTCTATGACAGTTCAGATCTCACATAGGCTGTCTGAAATCTCCTAGCCTGAGAGCGAATGGTGGAGCTGGAGCCCACATCACATGTGGTTAGTGACCACAGCCCTGTGGGAGGGAGACAGGCAGCCTCCAGCCTGCAAAAGCAACTGTATTACAAACTGAAAAGAGAGGAACCAAGCAATAGCATCTCACTGAATTGCAACCTGCCACTGATGCAGCACAGACTTGCATGCCAGATGCCACAGGGGATTGAACCCCAGACACCATGTGACATTCAGGCCTGGGCAGGGCCTGACTCCCTGGCAGCTGCTGGGTATAACCATAGCTCTGTCAGAAGCTCACAGTTCAGATGTGTCCGTGCCTGGCATGGTGATGGAGCACAGCCGCACTAAGGGTGTGGGATGGAGATGTTGCTGTGGCTCTGTCTAGGAACCTGCTTGTGTGCCTGGTGTGGGTCAAGAAGTTGACGGTTAAGTCTCTTTTCCTGACAAGCTGGTGGTTATTAATGTCTCTGAAGCATGTAACCTCTTTCAAAGTTCCCATGTCCCCAGAGCAATGGGTGCAGTTTGCAGCTGCTCGGAGTGGGAAAGGGCCTAATGCTCAGTCTGCACTTTTCCCCCTTCACCCACACTTTCTCTGCACTCTGATGGCAACTAGGCTCCGTAAGCTCCTTATTTCTCTTGCACCATGACCCAAATACAGACTGGAAGCCTGCGGTAGGAGTTAGCAGAGGGTTTTGTTGTGAGTGTTATCCTCCTGCTCATAGCTCTGCAGACATAGTGACAGCAAGTCCCTAACCTCTGTCACCCAGGCTGTTTTGGCAGAGCAAGGCCGGGGGCTCGCTGCTGAGACCTGCAACTCCCCAACCCTGCTCTTTTCTCAGCATGAAGCTGTAGCCTGGTAACAAGTTAATTTCTCACCTGTTTTCTGAAAATCATTTCTCTCCTGGGCACCAGCCCCAGCTGCACAGTTGTGACTCTGGTCTGTTTGTGTTGCACTACCCAGCCACTGAGGCAAGCAGGGAGTGGGCTGGGGAGCCTCCAGTGCTGCGCAGACAGGAGTGGGTTGATATAGCTATTCATCTCTGTAGGAGGGCCCAGGGCAAGTGTCTCTGAGTCATTTCCAGCTGACATTTTCTTTGCTATACTGAGTGGTTTGGTCTCAGTCCACTAGGAGCTGGATGATGTGTCCAGTACACAACCACCACCACAATTCGCAGTTCTTGGCCTCCTCAACAGTCCAGGACTTAATGGGTCACGGAGACCCAACTTGCCTCTGGGGCCATTCCAGTCAAGGCTGAGAAGTACTTGTGGGTGTGGAATCTTGCCGTGCTGTGACCTGTGTTATACCTGCCCTCTCGCTCTCTGGGGCTGTTCCTTTGGCTCCTTCAGCTGATTGAAATATACTTGGAAATGTACAAGAGAGAAATCTTGTCAATCCTGTATGAGCATCTTGAGAGTCATTGAAAAGGAGATAAAATGGGTGCACCAGGCCTGTATGCGCCAGGGGCCAATGCCTGCTGCTAAGGCATAAAACCTCATAACGTAAAATACCATACTCTGTAGAAAGGTACCCCTGACCTCCAGCTGGGAGAACATTTGAGGAGTCTCGTCCTAGCTCAACACATTTACAGACTCAGGCTATGTCTACACTACATCATTTACAGCTGTGTTGCTGTAGAGCTTCTGGTGAAGATGCTCTAAGTCGACGGGAGAGAGCTCCCCTGTTGGCTTAATAATTCCTGCCTCCACATGAGACAGTAGCTATGTCAGCGGGAGAAGCTCTCCCGTTGACATAGCGCTGTCTACACTGGCACTTAGGTTGGTGTAACTTATGTAACTGCTGTGTGTTCATTTCATGAAAGCCCCTGGTAGGATGGACCATGTGGGACCTTTCACTCTGACTGTCAGCCAGAGGTTTCGTAGGAGATGGGGTAGAACAACTGCCATGTAGGGCAACACTGGTGGGTGCGCTCCAGAGACTGCCTGGATGTTTCCTATCCAAAGGCCCAACGCTGCTTCGCACGAGATGGTCCTCCTGTAGGCGCTCAGGTGCTGTGGGGATGGGAGCAATATAGGAACCTAAATGGATCGAAAAGAGCTGCTCATCATCTCCCCTTTCAGCAGGTTTGGGGGTGGATGCTGTCTCCCCCATCTCAGAAGGAACTGGAGTAGTCTGGAGCCATGCCACCGCCCGCGGACATTGTTAAAGTGGCTGTTGAATGGCCTGGAGCCAATGCCCAGCTGCTTGAAATAGACCAGGTGAGAGTTGGGTGCTGAGTGCAGGAGAGGGACTTGGAGCATGGTGCTGAACGTGGGGAAACGGAATCATAAAGCTTCCCCTTGTGGCTTGGAGAAAGGGTCACTGCTGAGCACTCTCTCTTTCTGTTCTAGAAAAGGCCCCTGGCGTCTGTTATCAAGGAGGTCTGTGATGGGTGAGTCTGGCTTTCTGGAGGCCCTGCTGCAGCAGACCAGTCACCCTGGTGGGCCTGGCCTTTCGCATACCCTACCAGATGTGCTGTTGGCACAGTGTGGACTGCCTCCCTCCAGGCTTCCCACCTGGGGGCAGGCCAGGGCTCTAGCTGGGAGCGTGAACTCCTGGGTGACGGGATCCCCTGCTGTGTATGTTTGTGCCCTGGTACTCAGGGCTCCTGAGGCTTGGCTTGGCCTGGCCTCCTCTAAGGTTTCTGCAGTCCAGGCCTTCACAGAGTTTCCCTCAGCTCCTGGTCTTATTCAGGCTGAGATCCCACCTTCTCCCTCCTCTTCAGGAACCACAATCTTCTCATTGGGGCTTCTCTCCAAATCTCCATTTCTTTCCACTTGGAACAAGCCACCCCTAGTCTGAGTCCTAGCCCTGGACATAGGTGGTGGCCTGGTAGAAGGAAGAGACAGGGCCTTATGTGTCATCCTCCCCCCTGCCAGGTGGTCGCTGCCAAACCCTGAATACTATACCCTACGATATGCAGATGGGCCCCAGCTGTACATCACAGAACAGGTCAGTACAGGGGGATGGTGTGATGGTCCCCAGGGAAGGGGTTTGAAGGAGTCTGTACATTGGCCAGCATTGAGCTGAAGCTGTCCCCATTACTGGGTGGGGTTTTGCCCCACCATTCTTCTCTATGGCCACTAAACATGGAAACTTATATTAACCAGTGCAGTCCCAACCCTTCTTCCCCTTTCCCCTACACCTGATTGGGCACAGTTGTCCCATGGCCCAACTTCCCCTTCCTCCCCACAACTTGCTTTTGGACACAGGGACCATATGGTCCAACATAACTCCTTTCCCTACGTGTGTGTTTGTGTGTGTGTGTGTGTATGCGCACACATAGATGCACAGGGCCATGGCCAACTGCATTTCCCCATCACCACCTCATGCTGCTCAGATATTTCTCTTTTCTCTTTGCAGACTCGTTGTGACATTAAAAATGGGACCATCCTGCAGCTGGCTGTCTCCCCGGTATATGCCTTCCTTCAGCTGTCTCCCTGCCATAGGCTCGTTCCAGCCACTCAGCGCCCTGCTTCTCCTCCCAGTGCTGGGCCTACTCCTGCTGCTTGGTGGACTAAACTGAAAGATGATGCTCACTATGAGCAGCAGTTTAGCCCCAAGCAGGAAGAGCCAGCTTTACTGATTTACTTACAAGAGAAAAATAAATAGTTTGAGTGACTTGACCCATTGGGTTGCATCCCTGGTGAGGTGATGTAACCTCACAATTTCACCCCATTAGTTCCTCCTGCATCTCCACTTCTCTTGTTGCATCTTGTTTTAAATTAGAGTTTAAGTTCCTTGGAGCAAGGCCTGTATGTTCCTGAGTGCACAGCGCCCAGCACAATAGGGCCCAATCCTGAATGGATGCTGGAGACTACCACAGTCACATAACAGTAAAAATAAATACATTTTAAAAAGCAGCTTACACAGGGATCGCTTGTCCTCCTTTGAAATGCAGCCACCTGTGGGATGGGAGATGGCAGCTGTTTTTTAACCACACAGCAAAGTAGCATACCAGTTTTGTATGAGAAGTGGAGAAGAGTTCTATCTCCTTTCAGTGTGAGGACAGATGGAAAAAGGAAAAAGTGGTGGATGCATTAAAAAGCTTTAGAGAGATTTTTCTTTGGAACTAAAAGGTCTTTTGGGGCCTCATATTTCTTATGGTTCCCACTTTCAATGCCTGTACCTGCTGGAGTGTGATTGGGTGATTTATTCAGCATTAGAAACGAACACTTGACCCACCTGACAGTTGGCTGTAGTTACAGCTGAGAGCAGCATTCCTGATCCCAACTCAATCTGCCTAGACAACTGGTTTCTGTTCTGCCAGTTCCAGTAACCCTTTGGCCTTGCTGTGTTCCTTCTGCCCATTGCTGCATCCCTGGCAGAGGCTCAGGAAGTGTCAGCAGATCCATGAGTAACTGGCAAGATCTCGCCTGTCTCCCAGTCCAGGGCAGCACGACAGCTGATGGAGAGGACCCAGTCACACAGTATGGAGGCCCGACTGGATGCCATGAAGGAACTGGCTAAACTGTCTGCAGATGTGACTTTTGCCACAGAGTTCATCAACATGGAGGGCATCACAGTGCTGACGCGGCTGGTGGAAAGTGGCACCAAGCTTCTGTCCCAGTAAGTATTCCTGTACTCCGGACTTTTGGAGCAGGGACTGGTGGGGGTGAGGAGGCTGGGGGTGCAGCAACAACTGCCTTGGTTCCAGCAGGGATTAGAATTTTTCTAAAACATTTGTTGACTGTTACAATGTTAAACTCAGGGTTTTATCTCTGGCAACTGCCAATATAACAATCACCATGAAAAACATTTATTAAACACACAGAAAAGAGGAGAAATCGTTACAACTGTTGAAACTTAAAATATCAGGGGAAAACTTAATTTTAACAGTCACCCTCATTCCCTTCCACTTTAGTTATCGAGTCTTTTAGAAGTCTTGCTCATGCATCTTTAGATGGTTTTAAAAGATAGTGTTAAATGTTCTTGCTGGGGAAAAGTCAGCAGTATATGGTCTTGAGTTGTAGAAATTGGATCCCATTCCTTTTAAGACCAAATGAGACAATCTGGCGCAAAATGGAAAAGACAGGAATAGCAAAAAATAGGACAGAGTTTTCTGTCTTGAAGTTTGTGTGTTTTTCTTGCAGTCTGGCTGCTCAGAAATTACAGGTACAGCAGGCACATGCCCCCATTAGCCACTCAAAAACCTGGCAGACTTTTTCCAGAGTGTATTGGCATAGTTTATAGCTGCTTCTCAGGGTACAGCCGAATTGCAAAAGGTGGAATTGTTGTGGCTGACTATGCCAGACTCTTATTAGGCAGAAGGCAGGAAGAGATATATGGGAAAGAGGGGAAATATGGTGGGAGAGGTAAAATGACACACTAGAAGGAGGTGATAGCAGAAACCTCAGGTCCAAGTCTAGCTGTTGATCAGGATTCAGCTCAACCCAATAGAGAGGGTGATGTTTTTTGGTTCCCATTCCCAAACCCTGGCTCTGATCTGGTCAGGACATCTTTCACCATCAGGACAATGAAAGCCCAGGGGTGTGATGGTTGATTTCTGGGCCTCAACAGGTGGAGCAGAGGGGTGTGTGGCCGCAGCAGCACTTAATGGTGCCGCTCACTCCCTTTCTGCCAGCTGTCCAGGTCACAAGTGTAGCTAGTTGCCAAGTAACCCCCAGCAAAGCAGTGCACACAGGGGGGTAGCAACCCCGTCCCATCCACAGTTATCAAAATACACATCCAGTGATTCCACATATGACCATTTCCAGAATCCCATAGCTCGTTGTCAGCCTGTGACCTCCCCAACAGTCTTGGAGACCCTGAATCCCAGCTCTTTGTGTTAAACTGATACAAACTGAATGTGTTTGATCTCCAACTTCTGCTTTTTTATATACAGTTTTTATAACAGATCGATCTAAACTTTTGTTGCCTTCCACCTGCTTTAAATGACTTAGGATACAGGCCTCTGCGCAGCTGATCTTGGGGTCTAGGGATCCTGTCCAAGGTAGAACAGCTTGTCAGGTTGTATTGGAGAGATGGGAAGCCTTACACGGGTATTTGTCCTGTTGGGTCTTGCTGGAGCAGCTTTGCCAGGGTGCCTCTTTAAGTAGAAATGTGGGACCCAGTCAATGCAGAGGGTTATTTACAGGGACATGGATGGTGTATGTCACTTAATACTAATAATGCTTAGCATGCATAGCACTTCACATGAGAGACCCGATCACTTGAGCCAGGTCTGGGAGCACTGCAGAAGCCAGTCCCATGTCCTAGGGATAACTCTGTACCTTGACATACAGGAGACCTAGCTGTGAGAGCTGGGGCTCGGAGCATTGCAGAGGCAGGGCAGTGGAATATCTTGCCTCTTAGGGTACGTCTATACTTACTTCCTGGTCCGGATGTAAGCGATCGATCTTCTGGGATCGATTTATCGTGTCTTGTCTAGACACGATAAATCGATCCCGGATCGATCCCGGAAGTGCCTGCCGTCGACGCCGGTACTCCAGCTCAGCGAGAGGAGTATGCGGCATCGACGGGGGAGCCTGCCTGCAGCGTCTGGACCCGCGGTAAGTTCGAACTAAGGTACTTCGAATTCAGCTACGTTATTAACGTAGCTGAATTTGCGTACCTTAGTTCGAAGTGGGGGGTTAGTGTGGACCAGGCCTTAGTAATGAACCCTCTGGCCAGTTGAGGGGCTGTGTTGAGCAGATGCTTTGGCTGGAAGACGGGGGGCGGGGTGAATCTTGTGAAGCCACAGCGTTTGCTGAGTGGCTTGTGTCTTCTGCCCAGGCTGGTTTCTGTGTCTCCTGTAATCACACTCCCCTTCGTCCTCTCAGTTACAGCGAGATGCTGGCGTTCACCCTGACTGCCTTCCTGGAGCTCATGGACCATGGCATCGTCTCCTGGGACATGGTCTCAATAACCTTCATCAAACAGGTGTGGCTCGAGGAGAAGGGGGAGGGGGTGTTGTGTGAAGCAGTAGAGGTGTGGCATAAGGGGGAGGAGAGTTGCATATGGTAGTGGGAGGAGTGAAAAAGGGAATGTGGTGTGGCACACACATGACATAGAAGGAGGGGGAGAATGGGGCAGGTGTGCCATGAGCGGGGCGGAGATATGGCGTGGCCTGTGGGGAGAACAGAACATGATACTGTGGGGGAATTGGGTGTAGTGTGGCATGGGGCAGGGAAGGAGACATGATGTGGAGGAAGGCCTGGCATAGAGTGGTGAAGTAGGGCACGTGATGCACACACATGGTGCAGGTAAGGCGTGGAAGGAGTGGGAAAGGAACAGCTTAACTCCAAACATTTCCCCAGTGGGTTTTCTGCTGGAGGCTTGTCTCTGTGGCAGTTTGTGTCTGGAGTTAGCAGAGGAGGTGGAAAGCTTTCCTGCTGACTATTCAGACCCCACCTGCAGCTCTAGCACAGCCCACCCCCCGCAGTGTCATTGTTGCTAGCAGGGAGTGTTACAAACACCCTGCTGACCTGAATTCTGGTTGGGTTCTACTCCGTTCAGGAAATGGGTCTCTGTTCATGGTGGTTCCTGTAGATTCATGTTTGGTGATTGCAGCTCCTGGCTCCTGCTCACCTGGGCAGACAGGACACAGCAGCAACCAACAGTGTTATAGATGCTTGGATTCTGCTTCTGTCTGAGCTCTAAGCCCTGCTACACTAGATCACTTTTGGAGGCAAGGCTGGGATCAGAGTGGTGGGCAGGCACAGGAGCCAGGAATCAGATTATAGCCTGTGTATTCTGTGGTCATGGAATCATCCACAGAATTGTGCTCCAGAATCTCAGCTTTCAGTTAAAAATAAAACTGAGTTTCTAGCCCTTGTTATTGCAGAGAAAACATGACTCTAGTGTAGGTACTGCAGTGCTGTCTTTCTAAGTCTGGGGACAGTTTGAAACAATAACTCCATAAGACACAAGAACAGAAAAACGACTATACTGGGTCAGACCAATGGTCTATCTAGCCCAGTATCCTGTCTTCCAACAGTGGCCAATGCCAGATGCTTTAACAGGAATGAACAGAACAGGGCAATTTATCGAGTGATCCATCCCCTGTGTCCAGTACCAGCGTCTGGCAGTCCAAGGCTTAGGGACATCCAGAGCATGGGGTTGCATCCCTGAAAATCTTGGCTAATAGCCATTAGTGGACCTATCCTCCTTGAATGTATCTAATTCCTTTTTGAATCGAGTTATATTTTGGTCTTCACAACTTCCCCTGACAACGAGTTCCACAGGTTGACTGTCCATTGTGTGAAGAGGTACCCCTTTTGTTGGTTTTAAACCTATCTATTAATTTCTTTGACCCCTGTTTTTTGTGCTATGTGAAGGAGTAAATAACACTTCCCTAATCACTTTCTCCACACCATTCATGATTTTATAGACCTCTATCATATCCTCCCTCAGTCATCTCTTTTCCAAGCTGAACAGTTGCAGTCTTTTTAATCTCTGCTCATATTGAAGCTGTTCCATACCCCTAATCATTTTTGCTGCCCTTCTCTGTACCTTTTCCAATTCTAATATATCTTTTTTGAGATGGGGCAACCAGAACGGCACTCAGTATTCAAGGTGTGGGCCTACCGTGGATTTATATAGTGGCATTATTATATTTTCTGTCTTCTTATCTATCCTCCATCCTGTTAGCTTTTTTGACTGCCTCTGCACATTGAGCAGATATTTTCAGAGAACTATCCACAATGCCTTGAAGATCTCATGCTTGAGTGGTAACAGCTAATTTGACCCCATTGTTTTATATGTATAGTTGGGATTTCCAGTGTACATTACTTTGCATTTATAAACATTTAATTTCATCTTCCATTTTGTTGCCTGGTCACCCAGTTTTGTGAGATCCCTTTATAACTCTTCACGGTCTACTTTAGACTTACCTGTATTGAGTAATTTTGTCATCTGCAAAGTTTGCCACTTCACTTTTTACTCCATTTTTCCAGCTCATTTAGGAACATGTTGAACAGCACAAGTCCCAGTACAGATTCATGGGGGACCCTGCTATGTAACTCTGTCCATTCTGAAAACTTACAATTTATTCCTACCCTTTGTGTCCTGTCTTTTAACCAGTTACTGATCTATGAGAGGACCTTCCCTCTTATCCCATGACTGCTTACTTTGCTTAAGAGCCTTTGGTGAGGGACCTTGTCAAAGGCTTCTGAAAGTCTAAGTACACTATATCTACTGGATCATCCTTGTCCACATGTTTGTTTGACTCCCTCAAAGAATTCTAATAGATTGGTGAGGCATGATTTCCCCTTACAAAAGCCATATTGACTTCTCCCCAACAAATCATGTTCATCTGTATGTCTGATAATTCTGTTCTTTACTATAGTTTCAACCAGTTTGCCTAGTACTGAAGTTACCGGCCTCTAATTGCCAGGATTGAATATGGAGCTTTTAAAAAAAATTGGGATCACATTAGCTATCCTCCAATCATCTAGTACAAAAGCTGATTTAAAGGAAAGATTACATACCACAGTTAGTAGTTCTGCAATTTCTAGTCCTGGGAAAATACTGCGCCAAAAAAATTAAAAATTCTGTGTCAAAAAAATAAAAATTCTGCAAACAATATTTTAAAATTCTGCAAATTTTATTTGTCAAAATAACACTAGATAATCATGCCAGTTTCAATTATTTTGGTAATTTATTTCAAAATACCTGTCAGCAAGTATGTCTGTAACAATACAGAGACACAAAAATTCCCACAGGAGTAGAGAGTTAAAGAAACCTAGTTCCTATTTCTCTGCCTTCTTTCCCCCCCCCCCCCCCCGAGCCCAGCCAGGGGCCCAGCCATGCCCCCCCCCCAACACAGCCCCCCTACCAGCCGGGGATCCAGAGGGAGAAACAGCCTGCTGCTGGGTCCCAGGCTTGTGTGGAGTTTCCTGCTGTCTCCTTCCCTCATGTGGAGAACTGCAGCTGTCAGGCAGGAACCCTCTAGCTATCTCTCTTCTCCCCCGTGTGAGCTGGGCTTTGCCGGCTCCAGCAGCCCCTGGTGGCCAGCAGTACTGCAGCCCATTTCTGTGGGGGAAAGGAAATTATGCACAAAAAAACAATTTCTGTTAAATTCTGCATTGCACAGTGGTGCAGAATTCCCCCAGGAGTAAATAATTTCATATTTAAGTTCCATCGGTGCTCTTGGTGAATACCATCTTATCCTGGTGATTTATTATTGTTTAATTTATCAATTTGTTCCAAAATCTCCTGTATTGACACCTCAATCTGGGACAGTTCCTCAGAGTTGTCACCTAAAAAGCATGTCTCAGGTGTGGGGAATCTCCCTCAAATTCTCTGCAGTGAAGATCGATTCAGAGAATTCATTTAGCTTCTCCACAATGGCCTTGTCTTTCTTGAGTGCTCCTTTAGCACCTGGATCATCCAGTGGCCCCACTGATTGTTTCGCAGGCTTCCTGCTTCTGAGGTACTTGAAAAAAATTTGCAGTTAGTTTTTGGGGCATTTGGTAGTTGGGCCAAAATAGAATCTGAAGGCTGCCTAATTATACTTTTCCACTTGACTTACCAGAATGTGAACCATAGGTGTAGTCCGGCCCATTTTAAAAGTCAACGTTAATTGTGTCACTGTTCCCTATCCTAGCAGAAACAACCAGCTTCCCAAACTGCTCCTATGCGTCTCTAGATGCCTAGATCTCCAGCTTCTACAATGTAGTTATTGGTTCTTGATACAAAATCCTGCAGCATGCTGCAAATAAGGATTGTAGGGATGTCAGAATCTCTTCTCTGTGTGGCAGGTGCAACGTGAGGCATGAGTGAGACAGTCTTATGCTAAGGAAGGTTATAGACCATCTTACTCCATAAAAGCAGATGACCAGGCCACAGCCTCTCAGAATTGGGGTAGTGTCCTTCTCACAGTTGCAGCAGCTGGACCTTCTGGGATTGTGGTGCACGTCACATGCTCCACACTGAGTGGGTTTCTCCTGCTCTGATGCAGCTTCCAGGAACAGTGTGACTCTTGCAGGCAGCTGGATGCAAGGTGAGGTGGTGCTGATTTTAAGAGTATGATGCAGTTGCTCCACTTCCTTCTGGTGTTCTGAGGCCTGCCTCCTCTGCCGGCCTGCGTCAAAGCACTTTGGTATCTGGTTTGTCACATAGCCTCTGTGGTGGGCATCTGCTGAGGTGCTGGTTTCTCTGGATTTAGATTGCAGGATACGTGAGTCAGCCCATGGTGGACGTCTCTATTCTTCAGCGATCCCTAGCCATCCTAGAGAGCATGGTGCTGAACAGCCAGACTCTGTACCAGAAGATAGCGGAGGAGATAACTGTGGGGCAGCTCATCTCTCACCTCCAGGTGTGAGTATCCAACAACCCAGAGTGGAGAGATCTAAAACTAAACTGAGATTTGTAAAACGTTTTTAGATTACCATTTTATATTAAAATTCATAACAGTGCTGTTTTAAATGGCATGACTGGTAGGGTGTCTTATCTGAACTTTACAAATCTGCTAAAGGCAAAGAACAAGAAATTGGAAAATTATGGCACTAATCCTGGAAATACTTGAGGACTTGAGTAATTTCCCTCATGTGAATAGTCTCACTGATTTCAGTGGGATTAATCATGTTATTAATATGCATGTGCAGAAGAGTTGGCAGGATTGGGGCCTAAAATTGTATTGTTAGTCAAAACTTTTCTTTTATAAATCCAAATGGCACAAAATCTTTTGCACTGTAAAGCAAAATTACTTCAGTGTTACCAATGAAATGTTGTTTAGTATTTCAGTACATTAACAAAGTTAAAATTTGTAAACGTGTATACAAACTCACAAACATTGATATTAACATGAATATTTCATAATGCAACACATTCAACTTTAATTACAATCCATGATCAAAAATCACAGGCCAGTTACCAAGGAGTCCTAATACACCTCTTCCTCGATATAACGCTGTCCTCGGGAGCCAAAAAATCTTACCGCGTTATAGGTGAAATTGCGTTATATCGAACTTGCTTTGATCCACCGGAGCGCGCAGCCCCCCCGAGCACTGCTTTACCGCGTTATATCCGAATTCGTGTTATATCGGGTCGCGTTATATTGAGGTAGCGATGTATTTGCATTCCCTGAGGATGCCCTCTGTGCTTTCAGAATTGCTTGAGGACAATCAACTTAAGGTCTGACAAATGCACGGCTACCTTCCTTGTTTGTGATTGGCAGCTGCAAGGTGGTTGTTGCAAAATTGTTTAATCCCATCAAGCCCACTCCTGCAGCTGGATCCACGTGAGCTGAGCACCATGGGAGTCAGTGAGGGTCCATGCATGTGCTGGGGTCTTCCCATGTGCATTGCGTGCAATATTGGGACCACAGCTGCTAATATGTTTTGGCATCTTTCTTTCCAAAACTTTTGAGAATAATTCTAGAATGCGTGTTACTGTGATTTTTCTTGCAAAGCTCTGCTTAACTTAACCATACTGACTACATTAATTGTCACAATGCTAATCACATGGCATCATATTTTCTTTCACCTCTGACTGGATTATTAGTGATCAGTCAAATATTCAGAGACATGTGGATGACTGGAGCTATTGTGCTTGTCACACAAGTAAGCAGCGTCTCCCTCAGTAGTGACTATAGCATACACAATAGATGCATTGTGCACATTACATCTAGAGACATTTCATCTCCTCTTGAATCACCTCATCCAGAAGATGTCCAGCCACTGCAAACCCTGAGGGAGGAGCATTGCCTAGTCGAAGCACTTGAGCTTTGATTTGTGGATATTTGACAAATTGGAAGGTGGTGCCAGTTGCCAATAGAGCTGGGTGAATAACTTATTTTGCAGTTCTGAAAAATGTAAAAAATACTAGTTTTGGGTCCAGTCAAACCAAAAATTGTGGAAAAAAAATTGGCAAATTGAAAAATCAATTTCAGGTTGAACTAAAAAGGTCTTTTGACCGAAAACATTTTTGGGGGGGCATTTTTAAGGGGATGTGGAGGTGATGGTGCATTCCTTTCTAACTCTTGACGCAGTGGTTGGGGCACGTAGCTTGGATGTGGGAGTCCCAGGTTCAGTTCCCTCCTCTACTTGAGATTTGAACATTGCAGGAGAGCACTCTAGCCATTGGGCTCTGGGATATTCTAGTCTGGGTCTCTCTCAGCCTTTCCTGTTGAAGCTATTCCATTGTGTAGCAATAACAAAATAGTTTTTGGAGCAGGGAATGAATTTTATAGTCTTACATTATTAATGATGAGGTTTTTTACTTGTTTGTATAATTAGTTTCCTAACAGTTTGTGGCATTTCAGGTTTATCTAGAGGTTTTTTTCTCTTAAGAAGCTTCAGCTCTGAAATGAAGCATCTCTGATCTTTGTTGGTATATTTTGTTGTGAGAACATCACAAACTCAAATATGCCCTGACCATGAGTGCCCTGGCCGTCGGGAAACTGCAGATGACTGCATAACCGGGTGGTCTGGGCATTAATCTAGGATGCAGGAGACCAAGTTCAAGTCCATACTCCAATAACTATTTATACACAGTAGAATAGCTTAAGTAGGAGAGAGGGAGACCCTCCCACACACCTCAGACTATCCCCCAGTCCAGTGGCTAGGGTATTCTCCTGTCATGTGGGAGATCCAAGTTCAAATCTCTTCTCCACATCACGCACAATGGGGAATTGAACCTCGGTCACTGACATGCCTGGGTATAAGTCAGACCAGTGAGGGGCTGTGTGACTCCCTTCCCTGTAACCTGGGATGCCTTACAATGTCTTGCTGTTATAGTCTCCAACCTAGACTGCTCACAACCAGCCACCGGCATGCAGGCCACTCCCAGATGTGTCTCTGTAACTGCAGCATGCCCATCACAACCTGGCTTTCACCAGCCTTGGTTATACTGTAGGGTGACTCTGACATACTCCCGGTCCAGTACTTTGCCCCAGAAATCATGGAATCATAGAATATCAGGGTTGGAAGGGACCTCAGGAGGTCATCTAGTCCAACCCCCTGCTCAAAGCAGGACCAATCCCCAAATAAATCATCCCACCCAGGGCTTTGTCAAGCCTGACCTTAAAAACCTCTAAGGAAGGAGATTCCACCACCTCCCTAGGTAACCCATTCCAGTGCTTCACCACCCTCCTAGTGAAAAAGTTTTTCCTAATATCCAACCTAAACCTCCCCCACTGCAACTTGAAACCACTACTCCTTGTTCTGTCATCTGCTCCCACTGACAACAGATCCATCCTCTTTGGAACACCCTTTCAGGTAGATGAAAGCAGCTATCAAATCCCCTCTCATTCTTCTTTTCTGCGGACTAAATAATCCCAGTTCCCTCAGCCTCTCCTCATAAGTCATGTGCTCCAGCCCTCTAACCATTTTTGTTGCTCTCTGCCGGACTCTTTCCAATTTTTCCACATCCTTCTTGTAGAGTGGGGCCCAAAACTGGACACAGTACTCCAGATGAGGTCTCACCAGTGCCGAATAGAGGGGAATGATCATGTCCCTCGATCTGCTGGCAATGTTCTGTATGTTGTGCACTGTCCAGCGCCCTCGCAGACAGTCCAGAAATATTAAGTTTGTTAATCCTTTAAGACAAATTTATTAACTGCAAAGAGAGAGATTTTAAGTGAGTACAAGTAATGAGGCATAAAAGCGAGAAACGGTTACAAGAAAAATAAAGATAAAACACTTACTGGTGCTTAAGACTATGTCTACACTACAGACCTTATGGCACAGCTGTACCGCTGCCACTGTAAGGTCTCCCATGTAGCCTCTCTATGCGGCTGGGAGAGAGCTCTCCTGTCGGCGCAATTAAACCACCTTCCACAAGTGCTATGGTGGTGGGAGACGCTCTCCTGCCGATGTAGCGCTGTGCACACCAGCACTTCTGTTGTAACTTATGTCGGTCAGGGGTGTGGGGTTTTTTTATTTTTTTTTCACATCCCTGACCGACAAAAGTGCTATGAAGACATAGCCTAACTTAACAAACAATGTTAAATTTAAAGCCAAGTTTTCTCACCACATGCTCTCAGCAGTTTTTCTGACCAAACTTCTTAGGTCAAGACCCCTCCCGCAATCTAATGGCTGCTTCCTTTGTCCCATCATAGACAGTGAATCGATGGGCATGGGTGTGGGGGATATCTTGGGGTGTCTTCCCCTTCTTTTATAGCTCTGCCCCCCTTTTGAGAAGCATTTCCAGCTGGGAGCAAGACAACAGGCAGTCTGTGTGGAAGGAAACTCATGCTGTTTCTTTGCTAAGATGTAGATTTTTTTTTTTTTTTTTTTTTTTTTTTTGCCCCTGCCTCCTTTCCTGTCAAAGCATGGCCACTTAGCAGGTAATGGTCCATCAGCCTTGTTTACACCTGGCTGAGGCATCAGTTTGCCCTTTGTCTCTGAGGAACTGGTTGGCTATTTCCCAGACTTCTATGGGAAACATACTTTTAGTCAAGATCTCAGCTTTTGTTTATAATTTCACATATTGCACTACTATGTGCATTTTTGCCATGATATTGATAAGCAAATTATGAGTTTTTAAATACCTCAAAAGGCATACCATGTACAAACATTATTACAATAGTGTGTAGGGTGTGAACACAGGGGTGTATTCTATCACAGTTGCCCACATCCCAGGTAAGTGCCCAGTCACTGGCTGTTAAAAGTTTTATAAGGAGGGCATCATCACTGCATTTTTCAGGAAATAAACTGTTTGCTCGAAATATTGTGCTGAGCTCTAGTTGCAGATATAACACTGACTATTTGCTTATTGAGTTCATGTTTGAGTTTTTGATGTTCTCTCAACAAAATATACTAGCAAAGATCAGAGATGCTTCATTTCAGGGCTGAAGCTTATTAAGAGAAAAAACCTCTAAGTAAACCTGAAATGCCACAAACTGTTAGGATACTAATTATATAAACAAGTACAAAACCTCATTATTAATCATGTAAGACTATAAAATGAGGAGAAAGTAAGGAGCTAATAACATGTAAATAAAATCTCATTTTAAATTTTTTAATTAAATTTTTAAAAATCTAAAACTTTTTAATCATGATTTTTATTCACTTCCCACTAGGAAGCCAGCTGCTGCTCCTGTCTTGTTTGCTTCATGTCTTCACTCTTTATTTTTGTGTGTTCAACTCTGTGCCACACATGGGGCTGGCTACCATGCCCCCTCCAGTTCCTCCTGTCCTCCCCCGACCTGAACGACCCATCACAACCTCTCCCCTTGGTCAGCCTTTCCCATGGAGCCTCCTTGTCCTCCTCAGGAAAAGTCTAGGCTCATGAGTCAGGGCCTGTAATTTTACAACCCCCACCTCCCGTAGCCCAGAGGTTGAGGCTCTGGCCCCTGAGTCCCAAGAGCTCCATTGTTCAGAATGTGGATGCTGCTTCTGGCAGTTGCTGCAGTTTGAGTTTCTTCAGAGACTGAGGCCAAAGGTTGTTGGGCTTGAGAATGGTTTGTAAACTCTTGATACAGTGTCCCTGTCATGTGAGCCAGAAGAAATAGTGTAGACCATGTTTGGAAGCATTTGTCATAGTGTATTTTCCCCCAACTAGAGCAGTTTCTACCTGTCAGTTCAGTGGAGTTCTGAGCAAAGCTAGATGACATGATGGTAAAAATAGTTGGGTCCTGTCTGAGGAGCTGCACCAATGCAGATCCTGCCTCCAGATATCCTGGAATAGATGGGGTGAAGTGACAGCCTGTAATAATCCCCTCCCTGTTCTGCAAACACTAGCTGCTTCTTTCATCTCCAGTTCTCCATGTGTCTCTGTCCCTGCAGCTCAAACCAGGAGATTCAGACGTATGCCATTGCCCTGATCAATGCCCTCTTCCTGAAGGCGCCTGAGGACAAGAGACAGGTCTGTGACCTCCTTTCTATAGCCAAAGCCCCAGGCCTGATTAATGGCTGACTGCTTGTTTGGCACCTGCAGCATCTGAGAAGTCCCTCTGTCTAGGCAGAATGGGGCCCAGACTCAGCCAAGCTCTTTCTATTGCTGTGGGACTCTCTTGCAGTGGTTCAGCCTTGGGGGAATGCGGCGATTCCAATAGAGAGATTGACTGGAGCAGAAGGCTGCTGGTGTGGGGGATGTCCAACAGGAAAATGGAGTGTTGCTGGGGGAGAAGCATAGAGCGATTGTGTGTAGAGCACGGACACCCTTTGGAGAAACTGAGTCCTGTGGAAATGCCACATGGGAGTGCAGCACGGGGTGGGGAAGTTAGGAACCCCATGGGACTGTCCAGCATGCACATACACAATCTCTGAGTCCCATGGGCGTGTCCCCATGACATGCATAAGAGAAGTAAGATCTCTGCTCTGCTTGAGGTGCCCCAAGATCTTAGCTAGGTGTGGGGTGTGCAAGCGTCTGTGTTGTGAAGCTTTGCTCTGTTAACCCTTCCTCCTCCAGTGCCCTGTTTGTGCCCTTTGCTCTGGGCTCTGAGCTAACTCCTCTGTCTGCTTCTCTTTGTGCCTTTTGCTTTCTGCCAGCAGGACAAGCTCCTTAACCCGCTAGACCTGCCTGTCACTGTAAGTAACTCCAGCCCTGGGGGAGGGTCAGATGCCTGCTGAGCTGTAGGCATCCTAGGTAGTTAGCCTCCAGCTATTTGTCCTAGTGCCAGAGATGCTGCATGGGGATTGGAGGTGAGGGGTGGTCCGGAGGATGGTGCTGGAGGAGCCATAGGGAGGGTCTGCTTGACTTTAGCTGGCATAGAGAATATTTATAACGATGGTCCATAAAGGGGTTGTTTGTGCTGGGGAAACTTTTAAAACCAGTTCAGCTAAACCAATTTTAAAACCAGAACCAGTTCAGTAAAAACAGGCCAAGCCACCTTAAACTGCCTAAAACTGAGTCTGTGCTACAGCTCTGATTGGTTTTAAAATAGGGTAGGGGCATGGCTACACTTGCAGATGTAGAGTGCTATGAGTTAAACCCGCCTTCGGAGAGCGCAGTAGGGAAAGTGCTGCAGTCTGTCCATACTGACAGCTGCTTGCGCACTGGCGTGGCCACATTTGGGGCACTTGCAGCGGCATTGGGAGCGGTATCTTATGGGCAGCTATCCCAGCATGCAAGTGACTGCAACGTGCTTTTCAAATGGGGGGGGGGAGGGAGGAGTGTGACAGGGAGTGTGTTGTGTGTATGTTGGGGGGGAGAGAGTGGGTTTTTAGGGGGCTGAGAGCATGTCAGCATGCTGTCTTGTAAGTTCGGACAGCCGCAGACCTCCCACTCCCCCCCGCCTCTCTCCCTCTCACACAGCATTCCACAGTAACGGCTTGCATGCTAGCTGTCAGAAATAGAGCCCTGAAAGGGCATTTCCACATTCCTACAGGAGTTCAAAACAATGACAAGAGTGGCCACTTGACTTAAGGGGATTATGGGACGTTTCCGGAGGCCGATCAGAGTGCAGTAATGCAACGCCTCGTTCACACTGACACCCGTGCGTTGTAGCCAAGGCGCAGCAAATGTTATTCCTCTCGCTGAGGTGGAGTACCAGCAGCACTGTAGCCGCGGAGTCAGAGCGCTCTACATGCCTTGCCAGGATGGGGAGTGAGCTAGGGCGCCCGGGGCTGCTTTATTGCACTGTAACTCACAATTGTAGCCAAGCCCTAGAAAACTTGCTATGTAGACAAGACCTTATGATAGCAGAGGTGAAGGGGAACATTCACAGTACTCAATGCTGATGCTCTCAGGTTGTAGTGTATGTCATGCCTGATCTGGGGCCACCCCTTGAGCAATTGTGCCCTAAGAATACACTTCAGCCTCCAGCTGTCTGCCTCAGGATTGTTGCTTGTGTCCCACTGCCCATGCAGTTTAGAGTATGATTTAGAGATTTCCATTTGGTAGGTTCTCAAAGCGTTTTGCAGACTTTTGTAGCAGCAGAGAGCACTTTATTCTTGCTAAAAATGCAGCCACCTCTGAGGTGGCTCTGTTGACGCTTTTAACAGTACTTAGCAAACATGATGTAATATTTTAAGACAGACAATGGGTGGGCTTACCATCTCAAATGGAAAGTTCACAGATAATTCAGGGAGGAAGAACGTAATTATGTGACTAGGAGTTTGGCCAAGATACCAAGGCTAATACCCAACTCATAACATTTCCAAGGGATCTTTAATGACCACTTAAATTTTCCTTGCATCCTTTGTACAGCGCCTAACACGTTGGGGTCCTGGTCCACAACTAGGGCTCTCAGCACTACAGTAATAACAATCCAAAAGAGCACCTCCAACCCCACAGAGTCCCTAGTACCATCCTGGGGCATTAAGGACAATACTGACTTGGAGAGGAAAGCCCCCCTGCAGAGTCACCCTCACCATTCCCTGCAGCACAGTGTCCCCAGGACCGTGCTGGGGCATTAGGGACAATATCAATCACCTGACAGTGGTTAGGCAGTGTGTGTGTGCTCACACTTCTACTTACTATGCTGATCAGGATTTTCACTGTCTCCTTTCTTTCCAACCATTTATCTGCTTTATCCTTCTGTTGTCTCATCAGATATACAGCCTGTAAGCTCTTTGGGGCAGGGACTCCCTTTATTTTGTGTTTGTACGCCACAAATCTCTAAGGACATTATAATAGAAATTATAAATAATAAGAAACAGTGCTAATTCAAGGGACAGTGTATCCTCTTTTGAACCACTTCCTGCAGCAGCTGGATGTTAAGATGTCTCCCATCCAAGTACTGACTCATTTTGACTATAGTTAGCGTGTGAGCCCTGCTGAGCTCACAGCTCTAGGTGGTTTGGCTATCAGCCAGAGTGTCACTCTGCTCTTCCTAGTGGTTCCTGTCTCCAGCAATATAGAACCAAAAGAGTGAAAACAAAGACCTAGGAGCAGGCTGAAATTTACATTTTGCCGTACTTCCTGTGTGACCTGGAACTAGCAGGATTGGCTTGGGGAGTTGGGACAATGCAAGGGAGATCAGGAGGGGTAGGTTGCACTGGTGTAATTATTTAAGTATGATTTCATATTCAGATCCAATTCTGGGCTTGCTCAGCCTATGTTCACCAGTGCTCACAATGTGCAGGGGTTCTGAAATGGACTGTTCCGCTGAATCCATTCCAGATGGCAAGTGGCCTGATAGGTACGCCTCCTATTATCATGGGCCCATCCAAAGACCGGGCCCATCCAAAGACCTTGCCCCAATAGCAAATTTCTGAAAAGTTCCCACCATTATATTAGCTCTGGCACCGCTCCACCTGCTACTGTAAACAGGTTGCTGGTGTTTTAACCAGCATGTCATCTAGACCTGTGGAGAGATGGCAGGTTAGGTGATATGTGCATGATGTCTGGTCAGCTGGCCATGTTGGTCCCAGACACATAGGTTTGCAGCAGACTCACATGTCTGTCTGTCGGGATGAGGCACCTCCTTAGCATGTGTGATGTTTAAACACTTCTCGTTTCTTTATTTCTTGGTTAAATTTGAAAGAGCGTAGTTAGAGAGCCTTTGCTCCTCAGGCTGAGGTACAGGCCGAGGGAGTCACTAGGAAACGAAGCCACTGAGCAAAAATAGCAACTGAAAACTTCAAGCATGAAACTTATTTCCTTTCTATTTGTGTAACTCAAAATCAGCTCAGTGTTTTGTCCTCAAACTGCCCCTTAAAAAATCACCTTTGGGGCTGAGACAAGGGAAATGTGAGCTCCAGGGGAAGAGTTCTGAGAAAGTGATAAGCTGTTGAAACAGGGGAAATCTTGTGTCAGCTCGGAACATGGTGGCTGGGCTGTTTACCTGATTGCAGTAAGACTTCTGCAGACAAATACATTCCTGTACTGGTCAGAGTACACGTCCCCAGTTCACGGGCAGCTGGGACAGTCTTGGCCAGCAGCATAGGCTAGGGCAGCCCAAGTAACACTCCATGCTGCCATAGTTCCAACAGGCATGGCCAGCAGGGGACATCCAGGGCCAAGCTTTCTCCTGCCCCCAGACCTCCACACATCCTCTTGCACTGGTGGTATGCCAGTGCAAAGGGGCCATAGAGCGATAATGAATTGGGCCCTTAGATCTCAGGGTGACCAGCACTCTAAAGAGACATGGGTGGGGTGGAGGAATTGTCCATGGTGATTGTCTGTAGTGAGTTATCTGTCCTACATGGTATGGGCTATCACTGATCTGTCGTTCGCCTTTTCTCTCCTTTCTGCAAGAGGTGGGTTCTGTTTTTGTTTTTCTCTCATGTTTCTTTTATCTCTGAATCCCCAACAGGAAATGGCTAATGCGTTTGCCCAGAAGCACCTGAGGTCTATAATCCTGAATGTGAGTATGTGACAAATGACAGGGAGCTTCTTAGTCATTACTAATTGGAAACCTCGCTTATGTTGAGTTTAAATCTTGCTGCCTAAGGGCACCTCCAGGAGTATGAGTCTGTGCAGAGTGGAATTGCAACCATTTGTCCAAGAGAGAGAAGAGAGTTTGCAGCCTGTTTCCTCCTGGCATTAGAGCAGGTCCTGTCAGGTATTGGATCTTCACGAACACAGGGGTATGGGCAGCCTGACTTGTGCCTACAGCAAGCAGCACTCAGTAGTTTTTCTTACTGTTCACTCTTGCCCCCACCCTTGATATTGCAGCATGTGATCAGAGGAAACCGCCCAATCAAAACAGAAATGGCGCATCAGCTGTACGTGTTGCAGGTCCTGACCTTTAACCTCCTGGAAGAGCGGATGATGACCAAGATGGATCCCAATGATCAGGTCATTGTTAGGGCTGCAGTGAGTGCACTGTAGAGGAAGCCCCAGGGTCAGCAGTCTGGGTACGATTATGAGGGACAGGAGGTGCTGAAAGAGGGGAATTGATTCATGACTGGCTTCCTTAGCTCCACCTCAGCTGCAGGGAGTGTTAAAAGCTGGAGTTCCCAATGAGTGTCATTGTAAAAAGTGCCAATTCGATTCCTGGCACTTGGTCCATGCCCATAACATGAACTCTGGAGAGAGACAGGACTGCATGGTGTTGTGTAGAAATATTGCCTGTGTGATTGCTGATGCGCTGCAATCTCCTTGCCTTCTGTCCCTCAGGCACAAAGAGACATCATATTTGAGCTGAGAAGAATCGCTTTTGATGCAGAGTCTGATGGCAACACCGTACCTGGGGGCGGGACAGAGAAACGCAAAGCCATGTACACCAAGGACTACAAGATGCTGGGATTCACTGTAAGCATCCGGAGGGATTGCTGATGCCACAGTTTGCTAGAGGCAGCTTAAGAGTTCCCTATCGGGGAGGGGAGAACAAAAGGAGGCCACAAAGTGCACAGATCACACCCCATTTCTGTATCGGAGCCTAAGACATCTCCTAAGAGAGGAACTCTGCAGAGACAGGGCTCCCTGTTCGTATCCTTGTGAATTCACTGCTCAGTTAAAGCCGGTGATTAGGCTCAGGTCTCTTGGCATGATGCGCAAGGATCTTCTCGGAGGGCACAGATTGTTGTGTGCAAGTTACGTTTATCTCCACAGGAGCAACAAATAACATTTCCAGAGACAATTTGGATAGGTGGCACTCAAGTGTTCCCTGGGTGGATTGCTCATCTCAGGTGGAGGGTTCTGTGAGGGTTAGGGACCCCCTGCACGGGCAGATTCAGGGGGGCTTCTTTCAGGATTCCCTAGGACTAATGTGTTTGGGTTTTTCCTACACTCTACCCACAGAATCACATCAATCCAGCCATGGACTTTACCCAGACTCCCCCAGGGATGCTGGCTTTGGACAACATGCTCTACTTGGCCAAATTCCATCAGGACACCTACATAAGGGTATGGAGAGAAGGGTACCTCCTGCAAACATCGTCACCCTGGTTTGTGCTGTGTCATGTGTGCGCTCTCTCTCTCTCTCTCTCTCTCTCTCTCTAGATTGTCCTGGAAAACAGCAGTCGGGAGGACAAGCATGAGTGCCCGTTTGGGCGCAGCGCCATTGAGCTCACCAAGATGCTGTGTGAAATCCTGCAGGTTGGGGAGCTCCGTAAGTGCCTCCATCCCAACCCCTGGAACATTTCTCCAGATGTGCTGTGTACTGGGAAGGTGCTCCCCTGAAATCACCCACTGGCTATACATTCTGTGCCCAAGGGCAGAGAGCCTGGAGTCTGCTTTCTTGTGATCCATGAGTGCTGAGACCAGGGTCTGTACTGTCTTTGGTGAGTTAGGCTCCTTGGGCTGGAGTAGGGTTGTACAGGGTCAGAGGACACAGTGGTAAAATTGCCTGCACTACAGCTCACCCAGCTGGTAGCACCAGTGCTGAAGAGCAGGTAAGAAATGTCCTTATGTAGGCAAGGCCATGGATGCTATTGGGGCCTCCTGAGTGATGTGTGAGAGTCAGATGGGAAGCTCTCTTCTGGGGCTACAAGGATGACAGTGCTTAGTTCTTCTTTAGGTATGTGTCAGTATGGATCCCACTATAGGTGTGCATGTACCTCATGCATGCAAGCTCAATCTTTTTCTGAATAGCAATGTCTGCTGGGCCCCGTGTGTGCCCTGTGCACGGGCATAAAAGGAAAAGAGACCACAGCCCTCCCTTGGTTCCCTCTTGCCACCCATGGCAGAGATACTAAACCAAATGAGTGTCTGACTCATTACTCTTTCTTGAGCTTCAAACTCACTTCAGATTACTTTATTCTGTGAAGGAATTCCTCTTCACTTTCTCGTTATTAACTTGGACTTGGACATTAAAAAAAGGGGAAAGGATAGGGGGAAATCTGCCTAAAAGCTCCCGTGCACACAACCTGCACAGCACAGTGAGGCACTTCACACATGCTATAGGTTAAAACCCTGTCCATTGTGCGACGGTCTCATGTCCTTAACTGAAGAGCACAACAGATTCCATTTCTGCCTTGGGGAAGGGCACATCTGCAACATGTGCTCGTTCTGCTGTTCCTTCTCATCCAATGTACAAACGTGAAGAGACACGAGGCTCAAGTAACATCTCTTTGAGTGATCCATGAATGCTGCATCCAATCCTAGAGATGAGAGCTCCACCAAGCTGGAGTCGTGGAGGCTATCCCCAGAAACTGCTCCTCTAACCACATACCCCTGGTTTCCATCGGGGGGGAAGAAGTCATCAAAAAGTGTGCCAAGACCATTGGTATCAGCCCCAAGATCTCCAAGACCAGTCATAGCACTGGCATAGATGGCCTTACTGCTCAACGCTTTAGCACCAACTCCAGGACAAAGAGACCCTGTAACAACAGACTGGCACAGATTCCAAGTGCAGCTTGGCGCATCCAGCAGTTTTATCCTGAAAAGAGGATTTGAAACACTCCTCCAAAGACAAATCTAACCCCTCCATGACATTGAGGGCTAGGAGCAAGGTATAGACTATGAAGACAGCACAGGAGACAGCTGTACTTTTTACAAATTTTGACACTGAGACTCACACCGGTACCAACATCTGTGCCAGTCAACAACCCTTTCTGGTACCAAGATGCACCTTAGAGGTACTGCCATCACCTCTGCACTTGGGACAGACACCAGCACTGGAGGCCCCAGCACCAGACATACCCCCAATGGTACTGCTGTTCACAGAAATGTACTTCTCTTCACCATATCCAACCCATTCCTTCTCTCCTACTTCAAGTAGGGAACCCTCTTCCATCAGATCAGTGTAAGGATCTGTGGGACTAGAACCCAGGTCTGTAGAGCTCAGGGCTGCAGTTCCTACATCATCACCAGGGAACCATCCAGAGCCCCATCCAAGGAGCATTGTGGAGATTAGAATTGCCCACTGGGTCCAGAGCAGCAATACCCTGCAGCCTTTTGATTGGCCCATGCTCACTATTTAACCCTAGACGGTGCCCCAGGAAGTTGTTTAGGCAACCACACAGACCTCTGGCCTGCTGCAACTCCAGACCTCCCCTAGCTTTCTGATCTCCAGTCTCCTAACTCAGCCTGACTCTGACCCTTACTTTTTGTCTGTTGATCCCATCTCTAGCGATTACTCCTATCCCTGCTCACTGACTGCTCCCTCGTGGCCACCCTTGACTGTGTGGACACCAGCCCAGCCATAACCGCTAGGTCAAACCACTTACGCCTCTGTCTCTTACTCTCAGAAAAGGATCTTAGAGGGAGTTCCAGCAACATTCCTTACCAGGCACTGATGCATGACTGTAGTTGACCAGTCCACTGCCAATCTGGCCAGTACCCTTATAATCTGCACCTTGACCATACTGGCCCTCCTGGTGTTGTCCCACAAACTTACACAGGATCGTTTTAGGGGTCAAGGCAAAGATGCCACATTTATTATTAATCTGTAACTATTAGCAAATACCTTAATGCTTACACTCACACACACACACACACACACACACACACACACCAAAATGTTCTGCAGCTGCTGGATAGTTACCAGTCCTGGTTGTAGTTTGAGTTCGCAGCTTGGGATCGTAGCTCGTGACAGCTAACTGGCCAGGAAAGCTGAGCACGAGGAGGAGCCGGGTCTCTGTCAGGCGCGCACCGATGCTCCTTGATGTTGATAGCAGAACGTTACCCAAAGTCTCTCATCTCACCCTTCCTTTTTTATAGGAGTTTAGTTTGGATTCAAAGTTCCTAGGTCTCGCTGTGTCACGCCGCCTCTGGGTTTGGTGCTTGATCACCCGTTAATTGCAGGCGTGACTGTCAGCCTGGGACCTGGCTTTGATCTTCCTTCTGTTGTTTTTTTTTAGGGTGGATGCTTCTTGCTTGAGTTAGGGCTGTTGTCTAGTTCTTCAGCCGTTGGTATTTGAACTTTATCTCATCAGGACGGGCTGGTGCTGGAGGTTGATTCTATCACCCATGCATCCCTCATTTACACATCTTAACTAGACTAATAAAATTACAGCAGAGTTTGCAACAATAAAGGTTGCAGCAAGCCCTTACAAAATGGAGTAAGCGTTTTAAAATGGGGTTTGAATTACAATATGGCACAGAAGTTACAATGTAGGCAAAATGGCAAGTGTTATGAAATGGTGAACAGAAGTTACAATGGTACAGGATAACTAAAAACAATTTCATTCATGAGTCCTACACTGGAGCCATCCACAGTCCAGGAGCAGACCCCCGTTGCAGGTGTAGGGGAAAAGGATGACATCTCAATCACCACTGGGTCAATGGCCAAGCCCTCCCCTCACCAGAACTAGGGGCAAGTCAAGGCAGCTTGAGAGATGCTCCAACTGTCCTCCCCACCAAAGGGGTCTTCATTTTCTCCTAATGAGATGCTTGCTTCAGCCCAAACATTGTTGACTTTAGAGCCTTCCAAGACGTGCTCTCCAGGATAGCTGAAACATCAGCTATTGAGATAAGTGATCCAAGAGAACACGCACAAGCTGTTTGACTTTTTGAGCTCCTCAGTGCCATCAAGGATTGCCCTCCTGATTTAATGAGGGCATACTGGACCCAGCAAAGGGACTGTGGCATGCCCCAGTCTCGCTTTCCCCTGCTTGGAACTAAGAAGAAAAGCACTGCCAAATACTGTTCAAGAGCTTTGAACATTGTTACATGAATCCAGCACCAGGGTTGCTAGTAGTATCTGTTGTTCAGGAGAAAAGACCAGATTCACCAAGGAACTCCTAAAGATAAGGACCCCAGGAAATTAGACCTTTTTAGTCAGATGGCACATTCATCTGCCTCCCTCCAGGTGTGTATCATGAACTATAAGATCTTGTTCATGAAAAGAGTTTTTTATGGGGGGAAAAGTGTGATTGTTCCACCCCCTTCCTATTTTGTCTCCCACAGGAATACAGAGAAGAGCTCAGAGAAACCATCAGAGGTCCAGATGATCGCAAAAAACAGCGCTAAAAGTAGCAATGGACAAGTCTGGTATGATTGCTAGATTCATGACTATGGCAATCACAATGCACCAGGATTCCTGGTTACAGGCACCTGTTCAGCAACCAGATAGCTGAGGCACTCCCATTCCCTCAAAGCTTCAAGGACAGTGCTGAGGTCCCTAGGGATCTACATCCCTGCACCATATCAAAGCTCTCCCAACATCAGACCCTGCAAAGGCAAAGAACACCATCCTGTTGCCGGGTACCAACCAGATACGCATCCAGAAAGCAGGCCTGTAACTCCAGGAGCGCCTGTCATTTTCCTCTGTCATGCAGCAGGTTTGATGGGGGTGTTGAGAACCACATGAAGACCATACCAGAGCTGACCTTGAGAAACCACCTCACCCACTTCCATCTGGTGTGGTCAGGAATTATACCAGCAAATGAGTGCTGGGCGTGCCCCATGTAATTCTTTTCCTTGCCTCCTACCCACTCTCCTTCCCTGTCCATCTTCATGGACCCCTCACAAGAGCCTGTTACAAAAAAGTGGCCTTATTGCTTCATCTAGGATCCATAGGACAGGCTCTGGACTGGTTTGTGGCTCTTGACTTTTAGGACATGTACTTCCACACAGCAATCCATCTGGGCCACAGAAGTACCTGAGATTTACAGCAGAGCCCAATCACTGCAAGTACAAAGTATTGCCTTTCAGGTTCTTCACAGCACCAAGAGTCTACAAAATGTGTTGCCACAATGGTGGCACACCTAAGAGGGCAACTTTGACTAGATGACTGGCTGATCAGAGGCAGATCCTATCAGGAAGCTCTGACCAGCCTTAGTTGTGCCCTTTCCCTGTTTCTGCAGCTGGGCCTCCTGGTGAATTACAAGAAATTGTCTTTTATCCCATCACAGATTATAGTTTGTACGGGCCAGGATAGATTCCATGACAGCAAGGGCTAACCTGCCAGAAGACAGATTCCTCTTTTTCTAGTTATCACTGAACAGAGTGAAATCACAACCAGCTATGATGGTACAGATTTGTCTTGCATTATTAGGCTATATGTCCCTGTGAACATACCTGATGCTGCTTGCCAGAATTCATCTGAGGCCTCTACACTTCTGGCTCAGGTAAGTTTACTCCTAGGCTAAGTACCTGATGAGCAGGAAAGTCCTACTACTATCTCATGTCTTCTTAGTGCTGGACTGGTGGCTGCATCCCAACAAAGACCAGAAAGGGATGCAGGTCAAAGTGACCCTGTTGCCAACTATGGCATTAGTCGACACATCGGGTACAGGCTGGGGAAGCTCACCTAGGCCATCTACAGATACCAGGAGTCTAGTCCCCAGAGGACACGGGGCTGCATATAAATGTCGTAGAACTCAGAGCAATTGAACTGATGTATATGGCATTTCTCCCAGTCTTACGACATTCCATAGTGCAGACACTGAGACACAATATATTGGCATTTCATTACATGCACAAAGACGGGGTGCCAGCTCTTTGCCTCTCTTCAAAGGAACGAACAAACCGTGGAAATGGTATCATCTGCATAGCATAACCCTGGGAGTTCTGCACCTCCTGGGAGTTGTCAACAATCTGATGAATGTCCTGAGCAGGCAGTCATCAGTCACAAGGGTTGATGCAGGATTCTATCACTAGGTCGACTTTCCATCAGTGGGCGACACCTCTGACGTGTCCCACCAAAGACAACACCAAGTGTCCAAACTTCTGTTCCAGAGAGGGCATGAGCCTTTGATCATTGCTGGATGTTTTTCTTCTGCAATGGAATCAAGACCTCGTATTGCCTTTCCACCAATTCCGCTAATCCCCAAGGTTACTGGCAAAGTCACACAGTACCAGGGCCATATTCAGAGCTCCTATTGACTGAGGCAGTTCTGGCTGACAGACCTGTTGCAGGTGTCTGTGCAATCACCAGTCAGGCTGCTGGGCCAATTAGACCTTTTCTCACAGGGTCAGATTCTCCATCCGGAACCAAAGTCCCTGCACTTAACTGCTTGAATGCTGGCTGGTTAAGCACCATGGTAAAGGATTGCTCCTTACAAGTTCAAGAAATCCTGGTACAGAGCAGGAAAACTGACCACCAAATGGAAAAGGTTCTCTGTATGGGCTGCCTGATACAGTCTAGACCAGAAGATTCTCAACTATTTGCTGCAGTTAAAACATTCTGGATTGTCCTTTAGTTCAGTCAAGGTCCACCTGGTGGCAAAATCCACCGATACAGTTGCTCTTGATCTTCTCTTATCCACCAGTATCCACGTTTTTCAAGGGTCTAATGGCTACTTAGCCACCGGTCAGGGAACTTATTCCCACATAGGACCTCAGCATCATCCTTCTAAGGCTAATGGAGCTCCCCTTTGAGCCCCTCTTGGAGTGTGCTATCCACCATCTCACTCTTAAAACAGTCTTTTTTTGGTGGCCATCACCCAAGTCTAGGTGAGAAAGCTTCAGGCACTCATGCAGAACCCCTGTATGCCTGGTTCCATAAAGACAGGATCATACTAAGACTTCCTGCAAAATTCATTCCCAACATGGTTTCTAAGTTCCAAATCCAATCTATCACTTTATCTCTGGTCTTTCCAAAGCCACATTCCACCCAAGAGGTGAAGCTGCTGCACACTCTGGATATATCCAGAGTTCTCCAATATTATAGTGACAGGGCCACACTTTTTAGACTGTGCCCACATCTATTTGTGGCTGTGGCCAGCTGCTCCAAGGGGCAGACTATTTCATCACAAAGATTATCAAAATGGGTAACTCAGTGTATCTCATTGTGTTACTAGCTGGCCACTATACCTCTGCCACTGACTGCTAAGACTCTCTCCACCAGAGCCCAAGCAACATCCGCCTGCTTTCAAAAGATGCCAGTTATCCAAAATCTGCAAGGCAGCTATGTTAAACAATCCATTCATATTTGTCAAACACTATGGACTGTACTTAGCTGCTAGATCTGATGTCCATTTGGGAGAGCAGTCCTCCAATCTCTATTTGACTGATGCAGCTGATACTCCTCATTCCCACCATCCTGAGCGGACAATGCTTGCCAGTCACTTATAGTGGCATCTACGCTGACACGTACTCAAAGAAGAGAGAACAGTTACTTACCTACAATAACTGTGGTTCATCAAGATGTTGTAGTCAGTGTGGATCCCATGACTCACCCTCCATCCAGGCTTTTCACACTCCTCAGCAGTTATGGGCTACGAATTGCGAGGGGACTGAAAGAGGGTCGTGGCTGCTTTACGCTCTAGCAAAGGAATGCAAGGAGGCATGGGGCACATGCATTGCTGTGACAGACACTGCTACTCAGAAAAGATTCCAAGCTTGCCACATGAGGTGCATGCAAACCTACAGTGGGATCCACACTGACGAATCATGGTTACTGTAGGGTAAGAAACTAATCTTTTAATCATTCTTTATGGTACAGTGCAAATCACAGTAGGGGAAATAACATATGGAAGAAAGGGGAAGTCAATAGTAATGACTATAAATCAAAAATTAGGAATAGTAGAAAATTGATAAGAGAAGCAAAGGGACAGAAAGAGAAATCTGTGGCCAGCAGAGTTAAGGACAATAAGGAGGAGTTAAAGTATATTAGGAATAAAAAGAATCCTAAAACTGGTATTGGTCCTTTACTAGATGGGAGTGTTAGTGTTATCAATAATAATGCAGAAAAGGGAGAAGTGTTCAATAAATATTTCTGTTCTGCATTTGAGGAAAAAACAGGTGATATAGTCATATCATATGATAACACTCTTTCCAATCCACTAATATCTCAGGAGACTGTTAAACATTTTTTAATCAGCAGAACCAGATACCTTGCATCTATGAGTTTTTAAAGAGCTGGCTGAGGAGCTTGCTGGAAAGTTAATGTTGATTATCAATAAGTCTTGGAACACTGCGGAAGTGCCAGAAGACTAGAAGAAAGCTAATATTTTGCCAATATAATTTAATGCCAATCAACATGGGTTTATAGAAAATAGATCCTTTCAAACTAATTTGATATTTTTTTTTTTTATTTTTTTTTTATGAGTTCACAGGTTTGGTTGATAAAGCTAATACCATTGATATAATATACTTGGGTGCCATGAGACATTTTGATTAACAAAATATAGAAAGATCTCAAATTAATGTGGCACACATTAAATAAATTAAAAAATGACTAACGGGTGGCTCTCAAAATGTAACTGTAAACAGGGAATCATCATCAAGCAGGTGTGTTTCTAATGAGTTCCCACAGGGACTGGTTTTTGGCTTTACACTATTTAACATTTTTATCAATTATCTGGAAGAAAACATAAAATCACTCTTTTCCGATTACACACAAATTGGGGGAGTGATAAATAATGAAGAGGATAGAATCACAGGGTTGGAAGGGACCTCAGGAGGTCATCTAGTCCAACCCCCTGCTCAAAGCAGGACCAATTCCCAACTAAATCATCCCAGCCAGGGCTTTGTCAAGCCTGACCTTAAAAACCTCTAAGGATGGAGATTCCACCACCTCCCTAGGTAACCCATTCCAGTGCTTCATCACCCTCCTAGTGAAAAAGTTTTTCCCCAATATCCAACCTAAACCTCCCCCATTGCAACTTGAGACATTTACTCCTTGTTCTGTCATCTTCTACCACTGAGAATAGTCTAGATCCATCCTCTTTGGAACCCCCTTTCAGGTAGTTGAAAGCAGCTATCAAATCCCCCCTCATTCTTCTCTTCTGCAGACTAAATAATCCCAGTTCCCTCAACCTCTCCTCAACAAGTTTGGGAACCACTGGACTAGATGATCACAGTGATCCTTCTGACCTTAGAATCGATGAATAAGGTGCCTGAATAAAGCAGCAGAAGTAGCAAAGTATTGCACGGTGATTTTTGCTCACCGGTTAAAGACACGGACTGATTCTCAGATCTGGACTCTGAAGTAATTTCCTCATCCCCAACATATACTAGCATGGGGATAGGGGAGGTAAACCATAGACAGGTTCATGTAGCCTTTTTTTTTATTTTATTTATTTAAATTGAATTTAGTAATTTTGCATTAAACTACCATGGGTTCAGCTCCTTTTGCTAGTTTCAAGCTTAGCAGAGTGAAAATGACCTCTGGTGCTTTTCTCAAATGTGGAGACTCCAGGAACACATGAAGACCAAGGATCGTGACCAAAGACACAATCACGAGTACAAAGTCTTATCTGTACTACAAGTTTTATTAAAGCACTAAGTAAAGTTAAAATTACCCATGCATATATAAATCCTACAAAAACCCATGCAATGACTAAGACAGTAGTCCTATTCATATCCTCAAAGATATTCTAGCGTCTGATGGATCTCTCAGCAGATGACCATTGATAGAGGGATGGTTCCTGCTGGGGTTTCCCCGTGGGGTTGTCCCTTGGGGTCTTCCCACTTTTACCCAACCAATTAACCTCTTCTATATTGTTGTTTGATCACATATCCATGAGGGTTTCAACCCTCTTTTCCTTATCTGTACTTCCACACCCCATGAATACTGGGGTGTCCCATTTTTCATAGGTTGTTTCTTAGTTCCTCTTATTCTCATTAGCATCTATGTACAACATGTAACCTGCAGTCAGGACAGGACAGTCCATGTTACAATCAGGTGTCTTGTGGTCTTGGACAATACATGGTAGTTTATTGCAATCTAGTTTTCTGTAATATCACCTATTGGCACATCTTTTACAGTAATCTTGTGACTTTACTGGCATAGGGTTATTCCTAGATCACCCACTCATGTCAAGCATTCTTAAGTCTATGGCCTAGTATGGCTAAGCTAAAATCTTACAGGCCTCAGGTCTTGCATTCCAGCCATGCTTTACTGATATACCTAATACAAACTCATCACTCCAAAATATTTGTCAATCTTCTACTTCTATAATCCAACAATTTAAATCTATTTGGCATATATTTATTATATATGAAATAGCATATGAATTGACCATGACACCAAATATCACAATGATTAATGGATGATAAAATGAACTACTTGGCTACGGTCAGAAGCGTGTATTACACACACTGTCAGGCTGTTCTGATTGCAACAAGCTTAGTTCTTCCCATGAGCTCCAGGACCTCCTGCCCTGGCTGCTCAGACACTCACATAATTTCCTTCTCTGTCCCTGAAGCCAATGAGGGCCGGAATGACTACCACCCCATGTTCTTCACCCATGACCGAGCATTTGAGGAGCTCTTTGCCATCTGCATCCAGCTGCTAAACAAGACCTGGAAGGAGATGAGAGCAACGGCAGAGGATTTCAACAAGGTCAGGGGGATGGGAACCTGCCCTGGGAAGGGCTTTGTATCGGAGAGGGAGAGCGCACAGACAGACTCCTTACTCAGCAAAGTATGGAGCAGTGGGGAGGTGTGTACAAGTGCATGTAGGAATATGTTTAGGATCCTGGTGAAGGAGGCAGCCCTCTGACCTCTGCTTTCCCTGCCCTGGGCCCTCAAAGCCCTCAATTGGATGTGCCTCCTGACCACACTCTCGCTGTATCTGTCCCTTGCAGCCCTTGGCTGAATTCAGCCCCGAATCCCAGCTCCCCTTGGGCAGCAGGAATGTAAGCTGCCTGTTATCTCCCATCCCATCCCTCTAGGTGATGCAGGTTGTACGTGAGCAGATCACCCGGGCTCTGCCCTCCAAACCCAACTCCTTGGACCAGTTCAAGAGCAAGCTGCGCAGCCTAAGCTACTCTGAGATCCTGCGGCTGCGCCAGTCTGAGAGAATGAGCCAAGATGACTTTCAGTCACCACCCATTGTGTAAGTGCCTGACAGGGGCAGCTCTCTTCCCCACATACTGGCCTCCCTTGCATTGAATTGCAGGCTGCTAACCCCAGACTCTTGTTTACTCAATTGTCTTTGATCTCCAGGGAGCTGAGAGAGAAAATCCAGCCTGAGATCCTGGAGCTGATAAAACAGCAGCGTCTGAACCGGCTTTGCGAGGGAAGCAGCTTCCGGAAAATTGGGAATCGCAGGAGACAAGGTGGGGCCTGCTACAGCCTCCCAGTGTAGGAGCACTGAAGCAAATAGGACTAAGTGGGTTTCCCAGTTGGCAAGGAAGGGGGTGGATAAACAGGGTTGCTACACCGGCCAACAGGCTGGGATGGCACAGAGGTGCATACATACAGGAGACCGCAATCCTTGTCACAGCCAGCAGGTGGCACTGTAGAGAATGAGAGAGTGGGGCTATACAGGGCTATCATGGGGGCCTTGTCTGACTCGACTTATGCCATGCTGTATGTTGTGTTTTCCAGAGAGATTCTGGTACTGTCGTCTGGCCTTGAACCACAAGGTTCTACACTACGGAGACCTGGAAGACAATGCCCAGGGCGAAGTGACCTTCGAGTCGCTGCAGGAAAAGAGTAGGTCCAGGTTATTGCTCTGACGCTGGCACTATGTGCAATGCCCTGTGCTCTGCCACCTACCGACCATTCGAACCAGTGGCTACAGCACTGACTGGTACTCAGGAGATCTGAATTCAGTCCCTGGCCCTTCCCCAAGCCCCTGTGTGACCTTTGATGTGTCACTTGGTACTTCCCACATCAGGGGCTATGGGGATAAGTTCATTTGTGTTTATGAGGCTCAGACAGTCTGGTAATGGAGTCTGTAGAAAAGCCTGTGAACAGACAGATGGACATGGGGCCATGTAACGTCAAGGTAAAGCCCCATCTCTTCATAGTCAGGGTTCCTCCTGTTGTGACTTTCCTGTTTCACTCCTAGTCCCTGTAGCAGACATCAAGGCCATCGTCACAGGAAAGGACTGTCCACACATGAAGGAGAAAAGTGCACTGAAGCAGAACAAGGTAACTGCTCCCTTCCTTTCTTTAGTACAGTCCCTTGGCTGATGAGCAGTTCTTGGAGGGTGGAAGCAGCAGAAACGAGCTCTAAATGACAGCTGTCTATGGGAACCATTTACACACAGTCCCAGCCTAAATCTGGGACCCCTACATCTCCTTTCCAGTCCCTGGTCTCTTTGCTGTTTCACTCCTAGACCCACTGCCCACCCAACTTGTTCTGTGACTGGCAAGGTGCCCTGGTGCTAGTTGCACAGTGAGGAGGTGCCCGGGGAACAGGATTGCATTGTGGAGGTGTCCTGGGCTGCAGCTGGGACCCCCAACATTGTTGGTGTAGCAGAAAGGACTGTTATGATGATTTATCTAGCTGATGATTAAAAACCTCTTCCTTCAGGAAGTGTTGGAATTGGCCTTCTCGATATTGTATGATCCTGATGAGACACTGAACTTCATTGCACCTAATAAGTATGAGGTAAGAAATGGGGCTGTCAAATTGCAAAGAGGAGACAGGGAAAAACCAGTTCCCCCCAAGCTTTGGACAAGATGCACCAGTCTCACTGTTAAAAAATGTTGCCTAATGCTCAACCTAAATCTCCCTTGTTTGTAATATCATCCTGTTAGGGCAAGTTCTAGCCCCTTGTACCACCCTGAATGACTTCCTTTAGTCCTTGGTAGAGGCGCCGTCTTTCTAAGTTGCCGGGGGGTGCTCGACCCCTGCTCTGGAGCACCCACGGAGTCGGCGTCTATGGTCCTTGGCATTGGCCATCAACAGGCTGTTCCTCACATGCTCTGAGACGTAATGCCTAAAATTGCATTGTCTTTTCTGCTGCCATGTCACATTCCAAACTCATGTCAGTCATTCTTGCTTCCCTAGCTTCTCCCTCCCATTAGGAGTCTGTGGTTGAATTACTTTCCCCCAGATTAATGTACTGCATTTTCTGAATTTCTCATTTTATTTCCTGCTGGTGTCACCAATTTCAGGGGGCGTCCAGAGGGATGTTCCTACCCGTGGTTTGTGCTGGTGTATTTTGGGATGGGGGGGCTCCACAGGGGCATTCCCCATGGTTTATGCCTAGGGAATGTCTACTTGTCTACTTGTTCTCCACAGTACTGTATCTGGATCGATGGACTCAATGCCCTCCTGGGGAAGGACATGTCTAGTGAGCTAACCAAGAGTGACCTGGACACGCTGCTGAGCATGGAAATGAAGCTGAGACTCCTGGACCTGGAGAATATCCAGATCCCTGAGGCCCCACCACCCATCCCCAAGGAGCCCAGCAGCTACGACTTTGTCTATCACTACGGTTGACGCAGGCAGAACTGGACAGGGACAGGGGAGGAAGGGACAGCTACTGCTGAAAAGAGACTCCGAACCCTGGAGATGGTTCTGAACATGGCAATCATTGATCACTAATCTCTCTAGGCCCCAGCCATTCCAGTAGGTCTGCAGCTTCTTGTTTACCCACCTCGTTATGGGGTGAGAGTCCTGATGCTGGGGTGGCATACGGGGGAGGCACCCCATTCTCTCAACAGCAACACTGCATGGCACTGGGTGAGGAATATGCCTAGCAAGAGGAGGAGCTTCTGCCCTGGCCACAGGGTTGGCATCCACCCTTGTATCCCAGAACTGTTGAGTCTCCGTTCAATCCCACCTCCTACCAGAAAACACAATAAAACCATTGAGTGACTGACAGCTGCTGCAGCAGAAAATGGTGCAAAGAGGGAGTCCCTTGGTCGCTACAGGAGTGACACTGGTGCCTGAGGGATGAGAGCAGAAGCCAATGAACAGTTGGGGGTCAGCATCCCCCAGTAACTCATTATTGTATGATTTTATATGAATTACCATAATATAAATAATAATCCTTACCATATCTATAGTATCTAACTCTTTGAAGCGCTTCATAAGCATTAATGTTAATCCTACAACCCTTTTTTTTATGAGGTGGGAAAACTCAACCACAGACATTGAGTGATTTATCCAAGGCTACAGAGGAAGGGTCATTGCCTGAGATGGGTTTAAGCTGGGTCACAGCATCTAGCTTTTATGCTTTGTCCTCTGTAGCTATTTCCTCCCACAAGCATTGAGTATCTCCTTGTCCATCTGTCCATCCATCCATGCGATACCAAGATCCAGCATCAAGACACTGATGCTGCTTCTATATTTCAAGGGCATTCTTTGCTTCTTCACCAGATCACATACTCCAAGCCTCTGCACAGGGAGAGGTAAGGAGGAATTTCCAGCAGGAGTGAGTGCTCTTCCAGGGAAGTCATGGAGCAGTGAGAATCATATGTGAACTAATGTTCTCCAAGTAGCGTTGTTCTCCTTCCCTCACGCTCCTGGAGGCTGGGAAGACCGTGAATGTAGCAGCCACTTAGCAGGTGAAACAAACTTTCAAGCCAGCTACTTTCCCCAATTACATCCATCATGCATAGGCACCCACAGAAAAAAATTGGTGGTTGCTCAGCACCCACCGGCAGCTCCCCGTGGCCCCGCCCTGCCCCCCTGCTCCAGCTTACCTCTGCCTCCTCCACGAGCGTGCCGCTAAGTCCTGCTTCCCCCCCGCCTCCCTCCCAGTGCTTGTGCCGCAAAACAGCTGATTCGCGGGGCAGGGAGGGAGGAGGGGGAACGCGGCGCGCTGGGGGAAGAGGCAGGGCCGGGGTGGGGATTTGGGGAAGGGATCCAATAGGGGTAGGGAGGGGGCAGAGTTAGGGCGGGGACTTTGGGGATGGGATGGGGGTGGAGTCGGGGCCGAGGAGGGGGGACGCGGGCACCCACCGGTGCCGGAGAAAGTTGGCGCTTATGCCATCATATTGTTCTTCGTGGGCTTGCACATGGCCATTCCACTGTAGGCTTGAGTGTGCCTCGTGCACAGCTGAACTTTTTCCTCAGCAGAAACCATTGGGCAGCTTGAGTGCCCTGTCACTACATGCCACTGCGTGCTTCTATAACAGGGTGGAGCCACCCTGTCCAACATCAGTTCCTTCTTACCGCCAGTGATGGCTGTCGGAGTGGTGTCAGATTTGTTGTCATAAGTGCTTCCCTCACTCCTTTGTATACCTACTTCCTGTTATTGTTAGGAATTAGTTAAGTTTACATTTGTTTTAGCTAGTTTTAGTGATAGATTTTAGTCTTAGGTCTTTTGGGACCAATTTTTCATCTTTTGGTATCAGAATCAGTACTGGACCGATGCCATACTCCCCAGGTTTTAAGTCTATGCCGGTCAGTGACCCACACCCAGCCAGTGTGAAATGTTTTGGAGAAGCCTACAAAGGTGACAAATGTCACATCTGCAAGGCATTTAAGCCCTGATCAAAGAAAGATTGAGCAGCAAGGCTCAAATGTTTACTCATGGAGGCAGAACTTCTCCCTTCCCCTCATTGCACTTGTCTCACGCAGAGAGCGCCCCAAGTGCATCAGCTTCAGTACAAAGCGCACTGCAGATGTCTACTGCTCCTCGGCCCCATTTGCCAGTACTGAAGAAAAAACGTAGACCCTTCTTTTGTTTCCCACCTTTTCTTTACAAATTGCTTATCCCACTTCCTAAGTGCTTGGGCCCAAGTAATATCAGATCAGTGGGTTTTAAGCATGGTGTTGCTGAGATATGCCCTCCAGTTTATTTTTACCCTTCCTTCCCACCCCCCTTCCCTCTTCAGGGACCATGCTCATGAGATCAGTGTTGAGCAGGAGGTCTAGTCGCTATTTCAGGCAGTGGCCACAGAGGAAGTCCCATTGGGCCTCAGGGGAAAGGCTTCTATTCTTCTACTTCCTTATCCCCAAAGCAAAAGGGGGTCTCAGGCTTATTTTAGATTTGAGACAGTTGAACAAATACCTGAAGAAAATAAAATTCCACATGGTTATTCTTGTTTCGATTAGTTTTCTTTTGTGCATTCTGCACTTGGTGTCTGTGCGCCCAGCGCATGACCATCAAACTTTTTCCCTCAGTGGTACCCGTTGAGTAGCCTCAGTTTCCCCCTGCTGCTGTGCACCAGTACAAGCAGGTATAAAGGGCAGAGCAGCCCCTACTCATGCTCAGTTCCTTCTTACTGACCATGACAGTCATTGGAACTCTGTTCTATAGTGGAACAGTTCTTCTCTCAATCTTTGTGAACATAGTGAATACATATAGTTAGCCTAATTCCTAAGACGAAGGATAGGGAGGCTAGGCTGACCCAGTCTGACTCGGTGCCAAGTGCTGCAGCTTCAATGAAAAGCGCACTCCTGTAAAGCTAAGATAGATGCTTCAGCCCATGGCTGAGGCTCAGGCTTCAGACAAGGCTCACAAGTGAAAAACAGGCTTAAGTATCATACTGAAATGTAAGTACAATATTTATATTCCAGTCGATTTATTTTATAATTGAATGGTAAAAATGAGAAAGTAAGCCTCTTTCAGTAATACTGTACTGTGACACTTTTGTATTTTTATGTCTGATTTTGTAAGCGAGTAGGTTTTAATTGAGATGAAAGTTGGGGTATGCAAGATCAATCAGACTCCTGAAAGGGGTACAGTAGTCTGGAAAGGTTGAGAAGCACAGTACAAGAGCACAGGCAACTTCAGTAGCTTTGTTGTACAAGTCCTGATTGTAGACACTTGTAAAGCAGCAACTTTGTCATGAGTCCACACTTTTGCTTCTCATTATGCCATTTCCTATCAGTCCAGGGATGATGCCAATTTCTGACAGGTTGTCTGACAATCACTGATCAAGTAGATGCTGAGCCCACCTCCATGTTTGTGAGTCACCTACGGGGGCATGGACATGTGGAAGCAGTCAAAGAAGAAGAAAAAAGTTACCTGTTTTTCTGTAACTGTTGATCTTCGAGATGTTGCACATGTCCATTCCACAACCTGCTCTCCTTTCCCTCTCTAGCAGAGTCTATTCAGTACAAAGGAACGGGAGGGGGGGGGTACCAGGGGCAGCTCTGCCCTCTTATACCAGCAGGTAGTGGCGTGTGGTGACAGAGGACGTTCAAACTGCCCTGGTTGTGCACGAGGCCCGCACATACCTACAGGGGAATGGGCCTGTGCAACACCGCTCGAAGAGCAGTCGCAGAAAGGTAGGTAACCATTTTTTCTAATTAAGAACTTTACTAGCCAGAAACACAAAGTTCCATGGAAGACAGACCTGAAAAGGAGCCATCAGCTCCGTCTGTCCAACCCAGCAGTCAACGCATTGCCCATTCCCCTCAACCTTGTAAAACATCCCGCTTCTGCACTAACTGCTCTGGAATAGCTGCAGTGTCAGCACAGGGGCTAGAGACGGGTTCTCCTGGTGTGCTCTGCTGGACAGGAAGGACAATATTGCTAGTTTTTCCTGTTTAAAGTCAAACTTTTACCTACAGCCCACCTGGGGGGGGAGTGGTACAGTACCGCTTGCTGAGGAGAAGGGGGGGGCTATATGGTACTGCTCACTGAGGGGAAAGAGGAGGGGGGACCTATACAGTACTGCTTGCTGAGGGGAAAGGAGAGGGGGGCTATACAGAACTGCTCAAGGGGGGGGTAGGCGAGCTGTATGGTAGGGGAAAAGGGAGGGGGGGTTATAAAGTACCGCTCACTGAGGGGAAAAGGGAGGGGGTGTGATGGGTTGCCCCCCCACACTCTGGGGTGCCACCTGATATACTGGGGTACCACTGAGCCTGCCTGTTCCACCAGTCTGGGCTCCCTTACACTGCCCTGCTGAGCCAGGCCATCAAGCCCCCTCCAGCACACACACAGGTAGTGACACACCCAGCTACAGAAAGACAGACACTGAGATCAGCTCTGCATGGGAAGACTCAGCTAGGGAACTGCCCAGCACTTAAGTGCACACCTCCTCTGGAGTGTAAACCCAAAATTGTATGGTCTTGCGGTGCACAGGGAACTGTACAGCGTAAGTTAATTGAAATTTGCCTCCTCCCTCAAGGTCGAGGAAGATATGCACAGCTTTTTACCCCCCAGTTATGAATTCCCCAAACTGGTTTTAGAGAAAACAAAAACAAGTTTAACAACTACACAAGATAGATTTTAAGTGATTATAAGCGTTAGCAAACAGATCAAAACATTACTGAGCAAATAAAAACAAACACCCAAATTAAGCTTAATACACTAAAGAAACTGGTTACAAATGGTAATTTCTCACCCTAAATGTTGCTTTATGGCAGATTGCAGAGGTTCTTGAAGACAAGCTGCTCTTGCTTGCAGCTTTAGGTAGTTCTTTCACAGGCCAGACACCTTTTCCAGTCTGGGCTCAGTCCTTCCCACCTTTGGCCTTGTTTCTTAGATGCTTTTGGCAGTCATCCTGGGCAGAGATTCAGTGAAGAATGAACACTAGAAATCATAGAAGATTAGGGTTGGAAGAGACCTCAGGTGGTCATTTAGTCCAACCCCCTACTCAAAGCACTGATTAATGTTGATTAACTCACTGCCCTGCCTGAAATAGGATTTACATATGGTGGGAATCCTTTGTTTCCCAGTTTGATCCCCACCCCCCCATTAGTGGAAAAATACCAACAGTCCAAGATAGAGTCAAGGACCAGGTGACATGATCACATGACCCTGCAGTGTCAAAGCAGCCATGAGTGAAAGGCCATTTGATGCATCCCAAGAAGCTTCCCAGGAAGGTGGGAGATGAGCATCTTCAAAGTGCTATTGTTCTCCCTAATGGCCAATCTAGACTGATTGCATT